GAAAATGAATTTGTTCTTTTAATACACATTTTTTCTTTTTTTAAATCCTGCTTTAATGCCAAGCCATTCAACTGATTGGCCTGTGAAAAAGAAGAGAAAAATTTCTTTTATAAGCTAAAATTCTTATGAAATCCAAAGAGAAGGGCAATCTAGAAAAGACCTTGCAGAGTGAATGTAATATGAATTTGGAACTGAATTATGAAAAGCATTATCTAATAAATTTTCTCTGTTCATACCAACCTGTTTTTGTAGAGAGCTTTTGGAAAGTGATTAGTCAGACATAAAAGTATTTTTTCCATTTCATTTGGGCTGATTTTTCTCTTTGATTTTGGCTGCTATATTCTCTGGTCGTCTTCAGGTCTCTTCACACAGGAATTATGATTTATTCCTATTTTTTTAATTTTGTTTTTTAAATGAATTCTAGGTGCAAGGATTGAAATGAATTTTGACAACTCCTATTTTGATAAATTATACAGCTCAATGTCATAAAAAAATGGATTTTATTTCAATGAAATCTACATTGGTGAAAATGAACATGATTCAAATTAATCATATGAATGCTGAATTCTTCAGTTTGTCTTACCAATGTAGAAATCTGTTTATTTCAAAACTTGTCAAAATCAGTTTTACAAATGGTCTAATTTGTTTAACATTTTGTCTGATTCTTACCCAAATTTAAATGAAGAATTTAAATACAATTATTTCTTTATCATGTATGATATAAATGCAATTACAAGAAGATAAATCTACTGATTCCTGCACAATCACAATTTGTTTGAAAAGAAGGAATCTCAGAAATTCAATTTCATGACTCCTTCAAACTAGCATCCTTTTCTTTTTTTCTATTTTTTTCCAATTTTGGTTAGTGTCTACTTTGGCTTTCTTTAGTAAATAGTAACAAGTTAAAATTTTTGCTAAAACTGAAACCAACAATACAAAATACTAACTTTATAAATTTCATGTGCATATATGAGGGATGGGATGGGAAGAAATAAATAACTTACCAATTCTCATTATTTGCACAAATGTCAGTTTTTATATACATACTTTAGCTTTGGAGAAAAAAAATGTACCTTAATAACAACAGTAACCTTTTTTTCTAAGTTTCACTTTATAATTTCAACATTTCTATAATATAATTATTAATTATGACTTTTATTCTGTATTTAGTGTAGTAAGTTTTATTTTCAACTGTGAATGATTAAGGAATAGTAAAAATGACAGGATTTTATGGATTGGCAATTTGTCTAAGAAGACTAGATTATCTCTACACAGGATCTGTGTAATATCAGTACATGCTGTGAAAAGTGCTAAACACAGGAAAAGCAATTGTCTGTTTTTTTTTCCATAACAAAATAGAGAAAAGCAAGAAAGAGCAGGAAGTAAGAATCTGAGAGAGAGGAGTAAAAAAAAAAAAAAAAAGGGGAGGCAATAATGAAGATAAAATAAGACAGAAAAAGTTGCTCTTTTGGGCTTGTTATAGACAAGCATATGGTTGCAAGAAAGAAATACGACAACAGAAATAGATTTACGTGATTTATTTCAATAGGAACGTGTGGTTTTGGGACAGCTACCTTGTGGTATAGTTCATAGGCCGGCTGAAGATCTGGGTTGATCTCTCATAGTAGTTCTCGCTGGTTGGCGTGTCGCTGCTGGCTGCTGCTGACCGCTCAACCTGACCATGACAGGTCTCTTCCCTGGCCTCCTGTTGACTGCTGTTGTACTTCCATGTGACCCCTTTTATGGCGTTTTTTTATGCCTTAACAGGCTTGAAAAACGACGCGAGTATAATTAGGAGGGAAGCATTTTTATTGGTCAAAAAATAGAAACACTTTAAAATATTTTATTTTTCGACCAGAACTCGTGCATCGGGAACATGCATAAACGAAGATAATGGTCATTTTGTGACGGGGCCTTGTCTCGTTCACATCCAGCTCTCGCTATGTATGTTAGTTTATTTGCCTGTAAATCAGCCGAGATATGTCTTATTTTATAACAGGCTTTATCATTCTTTCTTACTATGTTGATCTATAAATACTTTCATGGTTAATTGTTCTGATGAACTTTTCTCTATGGTATGTAGACTATGAATTTAAGTGCAGTACTAGATTGGCAGCAAGGACTCCTCATTTTATAATTGAAATGGCTAAATCTAGTCCTATGCTCACAATTTCTTCTCTAGCACTTCAAAAATTTAAATGCAATGTCAATTGTTATCTTGTCTTAATTCCTGTTCTTTTATTGCTCTCTCTGCTTAATAATTTTGTTTGGTTGATTTTATTTTTCCTCATATTCTCTCACACTCAATAACCCCCTTGCATCTTAGTGGCTTTATTGCTTTGCTTGGAGTGGAATAATTAAAAAAACAAAAAGAAAACACTATTATTAAGAGAACTATTAGATTACATATTTTCTATGGAAAGAAGAATTACTTTTTGAAGTTTTTACTCATTGGTCAATGTTCTTTTTTCAGTTTATTTTTGTTACAAACAATATTCATTCTTTAAGCAATGTTTTTACCAAACTTTGGTTTTCATGTTATGTTGAGAAATGTTTGTTTCATGTTTTTTTTTTAAGTTTCCTCAGCTATCTCATGTATTTCCAACATGACGAATATGACTGAAGCTGCATTCACTGGTCTCAGTTGTTGAATAACAAAAATCTAATGCACTATTTTCTTTCTGGTTAAATGGGTTTAATATGTGATATTATCCAACCATACCTGCTAGGTGGTGGTGGTGGTGTATAAAGCATTATAAAAGGAAAGGGGACAAGCTCTCTTCTTTTACCCTTAAAACACATGATGCCCAAGGAACCATATATTGCACTCTCCTGTTAAACAAAAAAACACTCGTGCAACCACATCATTTCCATTACAACCTATCTCACACACACACACACACACACACACACACACACATATTTATATATATATATATATATATCTTCCTCCAATACAAGAAAATACCTTTTAACAAATGAGACAATATAAACAAATGTCAAAATACATATGAAAACAGAATTACTTCACTGATCTATATTCATCTTGACTTCACTTCACTTGTACCAGTTTCCTCCCGAGCAAGTACAGCATCATAGACCATCACTGCCCACGTTCGCTGATCCTGAGCCAGGTCACACAAAATGGCGAGCCAATTGCGATTCCATCATCGAAGACCAACTACTTGTGGACCCGATAGTACTGCTAGGTCATCCTTGATTGTGCTAGCCCACGTCCTCAGCTGTCCACCGACATGTTTTCGCCAACCAGGAAGAGAAGGAGGGAGAAGTACATCACGGATGAGCTCCCCCTCCAGGCGTTAAGCTGCATGTCCGAACCATCAGAGACAACGCTGGAAGAGGACGGAGACTCAGGCGATGACATAGAGTATCTGTGGGCACACGATCGATTCAGTGGCATCGTAGAATGCAGCAAAGGCAATCGTTGTCGAACACTTCAAGCCTTCGTAGGTCAACTGCTCTAAGTCTATATTCATGCATGAATATAATTCAGTTTTATTTATAAGTATACCAAAAAAGTGAAAGTCCGATTTTCTAATTTTATGCAACACTTATACAGTTTGATGTAGACTTAATTTATGGTACAAAAATTGACATCATTTCATCTTATATCAAAAACTGCTTTTCAAAAATAGAAATATTTTACTTCGGATGTATAATCTACAATTTTTCTTTATTAACAACTTTATTCTATGTTTTAATTACAGAAAATTGTCTTTATTTTTTCCTTACAAATGATTTTTTTTACACTATTAAATCATTGCAAGTAGTTAGAAATATTTATAATTATGTGTCTCTTATAGTTACTGTTTTGCCTTTATATATTCATTTTCTGACCAGTCTCTAAAAGTATTACTTTTGTGTTTTATATTCACAAAACAAGAAAAAGCCTATATTGATTTTTGGGTAACCTAAAACATTTATTAAACTACATTTTATTCATAAAAATTGATTTTAGTGATGAAAATAAATTGTAAAAAAGAATCCCCTTGTGCTGAGCATGAAAGAAATACTAGATAAATTGGAAAAGTTAGAATTTTTATAGATCTAGAAAATTACCACCAAAATATTTATGGTTTTTATCTATACCAAATTGGCGAACCCTTTTAGATTATAAAATTTTTAATTTAATGTTCTACTTGTGTGTGTATATATATATATATATATATATATATATATATATATACACACACACACACACACAGATGTATTGGCTGACCTTTTAGATCTTGCTCTCGCTTCTTGAAGATGATTCAGACAAGCAGAAAATTGCTGAGTCCACTAAAACACAGTGATCTCCATTCTACCTGCTCCAAGGCTAAGTGCTCAAGTGTGTTATGTGTATATTGACTGCTGACAAGTTGCTTTTCAGCTTGTCTTTGTATCTTAGCCATGGGCGTCCTACATTCCTGTAGCCCTGCTCTAACTGGCTGTACATTAGGATCTTGGGTATCCTGTCATCAGACATTCTCAAGACATGACCAGTCCACTATAACTGAGACTGTATGAGAAAAGTCTTGATTCATCCAATATTACACCTGTTAAACAGGTCTATGTTAGATGTCCTATCTTGAAGCTTAACTCCACAGATTGAATGCAGACAGCTTTTATGGAAAACATCCAGCTGCTGTATATGGTACCTGTATGGAGTCCATGACTCTGAGCCATAGAAAAGGATGGCAAGTACAACAGCTCTGTAAACTCAAATTTTCGTATCCAGTCGAATACCCCACTCATTCCACAAGCGATGGCGAAATTTGCCAAAAGCACTGGTAGCCTTAGCAATCCGATGCATGATTTCATCATCTAAAGTTCCACTGTAATTGACTTTGCTACCCAGATAGGTGAAAGATTTTACATAGTTCAGGGGGTTTGTCTTGTATGTATATATATATATATATATATATATGAGAGAGAGAGTATTAGTCATATATTAGTTTTTATAATGTTGTTTAATTTTCATTTTAATTATTTTGCAGAACAAATTGAACTCTCAACATTTACACTAGGGACCAATACACCAAGCATTCGACATGTCCGGGTCTTTGAGTATGCAGAAGGAATTCCCAGGGGTTCTAAAACTCTTGCATGGCTGGATGTCACGAAACCACCTCCAGGTTTGGAGAATAAATCTGAATTCAAAGTTGTCGTGGAAGTTGATGTTGACATGCTCTGTGAGGACTTTCGGATGGTTTTCAAAATTCTTGTTGGAGGGAAAAAGTTAGCATTTTATTTCTTTTCATTATTTGAAAATATAAAAAGTATACATATGTTCATTTAAATGAAATATAACTCTCATTTTTTATTTTTGGTAAAACTGAATCTGTGGCTAATTTTTTATGGTAAATTTGTGATGCAGCTTTAAACTCTTAAAATGTTCTCATCAAAGAAAAAACAGTAGCATTTATAATTATCAGAATTTGGTTGGTCCAAGTTGAAATTGTTATATTTTTGTCTTGTTACATTGCATAGAGAATATAAGAATTATTACATAAAATGATTTTTCTTTTCAGCATAGGTTTTAATGTTGCCGTTGAAGAACTGACCATTAAAGGAACTATGCAAATAATTCTGGACATGTCAATGGATGTTCCTTTCCCTCATTTTTCCAAAGCCACTACTTTTTTTACAGAAAGGTTAGTTAAACTTTTTATTTTCTTGACAACCACAACTCATTTTCTATTTTAACCTGCCTTATTAAATAAAATTATCTAAGATGTATATGTACATACACACTACACTAACCCTAATTATTTTGAATCACTTTTCCTGATTGAACAATGGTGAGTTATGCATAATATCAATAAGTATGTTGAAAGTAAAGGTATAGTTGAAAATCTTGTTTTGTTTGTACCTTTTCAGTTATGTCACCTTTCTTGTACACCTGAGCAAGGGCAGAAGAGACTATGATTATTAGTTGAAGTATTGTCAACTATTATTACTTTTTGATTAGTATATCCTTCATCATAATTCCAAATTCTTTTTATCACAAATATTAGAACACTCACTCTCTGACTGTGGAACAGGAAATGAATGCACAGAAAGCTAATATTTAACAAACCTCTTTTAATTATAGTACCCTAGCACACTTAGTGTATAATTTAAAAAAATGACAGCACCTAAATCTGAAGTTACTGAACTAGTGTATTTGCATTAATATGGTTAAGTTAGATAAACTATTTATACAAAGTAAAAAAAATCTTAAGTAAACATTTTTAATTTATATTAGCTTACACACATTAAATAAACTTATTTTTATCTAAAACATGAATTGCTTGATCCCACCACCATTCAGCAGATTCAATCTTCAGTGAGGCCATAGAGCATCTAGTTATTCACATGCACATATTATGTACTGGAAATGTTTAACACAATTGTAGAATAATCCCAAATATAAACATTGTTTATCGATCAAGAGTTATCTAGTGTCGAAATAGTGAACTAGATGAACAGTGGGATTTGTAATGTGCTAGTCAGATATCACTTCCTATCATTGTGATCATACATTGGAGCATTGAATTACAATTGTTTCGAATTTACATTTTTTAAGCTCCTTAGGAGCTAACCTTAGTGCTTCAGGGAGCTGCTGTGCACACTTTGGGAATCACAGAAAGCTCTTAGCCAAAATCACTTGCATCCCATTTAGCTATATTGAATAGCTGTTCTATTGAAAATTAGCTATATTGAATAGTTGTTCTGTTGAAAACCATTAGCTGTAGAAGATTTATTCCTTATTTTCCTCTGAACATTTAGTGCCCTCTTATTTGATGTTTTATACATTAATGGATGTAAAGTAAACATTAAATATAGCAGTGCTAGATCTTTGGTGGAAAAACTAAGAATAAATCTGTATAGTTATATTTGATATTGGCTTTGGAAGTTCAATTAGTAAAACAGTTGTCAGGCATGGAGGCTTCATAAGGAAAAACAGGTGTTCAAATCTTGCCATGAGTACACTTTTTTTATTTTTAATCCATGCTGTTTACTGGTGGCATGAGTAGTTTGATAAAAATCTCAAATTAAGTTGATTTGGTTGATATCAGAAAGTGTATCTAAGTACAAAACTATAAAACTATATTAAATATGCAATTCATCATTGGTTCTTATTGTCCAAGTGTAAAAATTACTAATTTATATTTTATCTTTTTACAATCAGATTTGAAAAATATTTATTACTTTGGAATTTGTGTGCAAAGTAGGGATAAAAGTTTGAGCTTTTTTTTTTTTGCTTTTTTTTTTTACTTTAAAAGAACAAGAGCTTTAAACATTTTTATGATATTTTATAGATGTAATATTGCAGTGAAAAAAAAAATTAAACTTGTAAGAGAAACTCTTTGTAAATTTGGGGAAGATTACATTTTTAAAATTACCCTAAGCTAGTTTTAACTAGCTTGATATTTATACTGTGATATAGTTTTTATAATAACTAGAAGAACCATTTAAATTGATTAGAAATCAAACCTTTGCAAGCTGATATATTATGAGTATCTTCAATTTACAGATAAAACTTAAGAATACCATGCTGTATATTTTGAAGTCTACCTACATTTGAAAAGGTAGTAATTATTTTATAATTTTTCAAAGCACATGTACGAGGAGGCAATCATTTTTCCAGCTAAAGATGCTGCAAAAATTATTAGTTCCTTGTAACACTCTAGAAAATACCTGGTATGCTCTATGTAAGAGCTAGATCAGACCAAAAATGGAGTACTGCTGGCATATTTGGGCTGGAGCTGCCCAGCCCTCACTTACTGGCTTGAATAGCTTAAAAGCATCTCTGACCTTGTGGGTGATGATTTTTCCATTGAACATTGTTCCACCAGTTCAGACCTTCACATCTAAGACCTACCACACCTCTAGGACAAATCATCTTTATTCCATTCATATTCCATTAGTATGAAGGAAATTCCATTTGGACACCTTTGTCCCAAGAACTACTACTATGTGGAACAGACTCCCAATCACTACAAGCTTAACCTTTCCAAGTCTATAATTAACATATTCTCATAATCAGCACTTACCTATTCCTATTATGTTCATACAACAACCTCATTCAGTAACCCTCTATCTTGAGTGGCTCTTAGGTTTTGTATTAAGTAACCAATTAGTTAAAAGAAAAAAAAATATAATTGTGTATTTAGTAGCACAAGAGAACAAATGAAACAAGTAGAGCCTGTGGGAAGAAAAGAAGACTATTGTTAAGATAAAATTCTTTATATACATTCTTTTGATACAGAGGATTGTTATACTCCGTCACATTTAGATCTCATTCTGATTCATTCTAAATGATAGCCTGATGTGAACACTGTGAGGGCAGAGGTCAAAATAACAAAAGTTGTTTCTGCGCATTGGGCTCCACACATGATCCCATCACCATGACAACAGAGTGGCAGACCAGACCACCATGCAAAGTACTACTACCGCCACAGTCACCACCTTCACTGCCACCACTCAACATGACCGCGCATTTCAATGACCGTTAACACATCCTGGCTTGACCGACAACCTCGGCTATCCAGTTTTCAACCAAACATCTCTACCTCGAAACCTCCCAGCTACAGGCCTCCATCAATACCAACACCTGCTATCAACTCATCCCACCCCAACATACCTCAACTTGCTTACAAGGCATTCCCTTTGACATCCATTCCACACAACAGCTCTACATTGACTCACTTATGAAGCACTGTTCACAGTTGATGCAGCTACCTCCGTTCACAGAACTGGCCTCCCTAAACCCACAGTCACCTTGGCCTACTTCAACCTACCTCAACTCGCTACAAAGCACTCCCTTCAAAGTTGATGCAGCTACTCTCATTCCACAGAACAGTTCTACCCTGTCTCGCTTATGAAGCACCCTTTGCAGTTGATGCAGCTACTCTCCATTCCACAGAATAGCTCTACCTCCACTCACTTACGAAGCACCCTTCAAAGTCAACACAGTTACCTCTGTTTCACAGAACTGCCCTCCTGAAACCTGTCATCACCTCGGCCTACCTCAATCTACTTTATCCTACCTTGACTTGTTTACAAAGCACTTCATTTGCGGTTGACCCCAGCAACATCCATTCCATGCAACAGATCTACCACGATGTAATGACCTATAACAGTAACCTCAATCAAGTAAATGTGTACTAACTATATCTTGTGACCCAGGCCACGCCGGCATAAGAAATGGTTCAATCCCCAACATTACACAAGCACCTGACCATATTCCTCTACTATCTACCAGCAATAAATGTTGTTTCACTCAAATCCTCGTTATTCCTTTCTCTCACTACCATACACTTTATATGTTATTACATATATTTATTTTGTAAGCCAGATGTGATGCTAGGAGCCCCTATATGAGGGTGACATTTTTATTTTTGGTTTTGTTTTCTTAGCGTTCACATCCAGCCAACAAGTTTTTGTGTAGCATGAATCAGAAAGTGATCTAGTTTGAAATGGAGTATAACAAGATCTAAACATTATTTTAGTGTGATGAATAATTGCTGGTCATGTTTTTAAACTAACCAGTCATGCAAGAATTGCATATGAGTAATTTCAGGTCACACTAGTCTTATTTTTACTATAGCTAGAACTTGTTTCTTATATGTGATATAATTCTTTCTTATAAAAGTCTATCTACACATGTTTAAGAGGAAATTAGATGTTTACACTTTGATGTGACCCATGAAGCTAGACAAAATGATTTCTTACCATTATAAGTAACCAAATAAATTATCCTTTGGTCTTTTTTTTTCTCTCTCCAACAGCTCCCCCCAATTGTTGTTTAGATTTTCAGCCAGGTGATTGTTATAGGTTATTTTTGATAATATTGCAGTGCATTTTTCTTTATTTACCCCCTATTGACTGATTGTTTAGGTTTGTTATTAAAACACTGTAATAGTCTTTGAATTTATTAAATAAAAAAAGCCCCTATAAACTTTTGGACAGTATTTCTTTCTATTGCCTTCTTATTGCAATTCTGTGTTATTTTGTAACCAATAAGCAGCATGAATCAGAAATAATGAATACACTTCTGGTGAGATTTGAACTTGAGTCCTCTATCATTAGGAGCCTACCTGCCTTACTAAGACAGCACCATACCAATTAGGCTACAAACTAGCCATCATTCTAATAAACTAGATATATACTTTAATCTGCACTTGGGCACTATATTTTATTTACATTTAAGAGTATCAGTTATGATTTTCTTTGATTTTATTAAGACATGTATTATTATTATTATTATTATTTTCTTGACTAGTTTTTCATTCAATTTTGTTATGTTTATTGGAACTTGCAGATCTTTATAATAAGCAGTAGGGATTGGAAATAAAAAAAAAATCCTCTTGCAAGATTTGAACTTGCACAGCTTAATCTGATCCAAATGTTTGCTTAATGGTTATAGAATGTAAAAATCATCACAAAAGCAACAGAAAAAAAGATTAAAAATACTCTTCTCAAATTAATAACTATATTGTTTTTCTAAGTTTGTCTTAATGACTAATTGTTCACTAATTCACTGCTTTCATTTTCTATAAATGAAATAATTAATTAGACAAAATTATTAGTAGTATCAGCAACAGTGAAAGCAAAAACTGATTATTGACAAATTGTTATAAGAATGTTTGAATTCTTGTCTGAGCATCGATGAAAAAGTTTCTGTATGCAAATTGCATATCATTTAATAGGAGAAAAATTCAGGTTTCACTCAATTTAATTAATTTTTTTTTTATTAAATCATATTAGGAATGTTTTATAGAATGTAAAGGTCCATAAAGACAACAAGAAATTATTTTTATTATTAGAGCTGAAGCCATTTCCCTAGTTACAAATAAAGATGAATAATATTAATCATAATGAAATTAATACAAAAAGTCTTACTTTCTGACAGTTCTAAAGTATGCAAAATTTGATATTAAAGACTATCAAAAGTATTTTCCTTAATTATTGAAAACGCCTGCACATTTTTTAAGCTTATATAATAGTCTCTACATCTAGTATCTTTCAATGATCCTAGCACTTCTGAAAGTTTGCATGTGCTGGTTGTTGACTTCTGCATATTAAAGTATCATAATCAACAACTGATGATTATGTATTTCTGGGCTTTATATCAAAAGGATAAGTCACCACCCTTGAAAAGTTTAACCCTTAAATGGTGAGCATCATCAATTGATGTTTCACTGGAGATCAGCAGATATCATCAATTGAATTCTGATTCATGAGGTTACTATTTATTAGGATACATTCATTTAATTACCTGAGTAATTTAAGGTAGAACCAGTCAAAAACAGTGCTATAGCTGCATGCATACTTCTCAAAGAGAAAAGAGGTGAAAAATGGTGACAACTATGTGTAAAGAATACAACTTGTGCATGAGATGCCCCAAGGAGGATTGTGCTGTTAAAAAAAGAAAATTTAGGAACCAGAAATTCTTTCTGCTTTTTATTTTTATAATGTAAAAAAAAAAAGTTAAAATATCATTTTTATAGTTTTTGCATATAATTAAAGTGAAGTTAAGCATAAAAACTATCCTTTAAAAAAAAAAAAAAAATTTCTCATTCCAATTTGTCATGCACATTCATGCATACTTTTTTCAGCATCTGAGGGTTAAACCAGTTTTAGGCAGTACTGTTAGACATTTCATCTTTTTTTTTTTTTTTTTTTTTTTTTTACATACCAAATGACTTTGAAGCCCAGTTTAAAATAATGACTCAAAATTGCCAGATTCCCAATGCTTTTATAACAACTGAAACAAAAGGTACAGTTATGTAGCATTGATAATGATATATATTGTGAAATTGTATTTTTAGACGTGTACATGAAATAAGTTTTATAGTTATTGTGACCAAGTAATTGGTTAAGGAATAACAAAACAAGAGGTTGTAGATAGTGTATTGAACAGTAAATACAACAGAAGTGTGTGACACGACTTAGGAGTGTGTATTGGTTGACCAGTGTTCAGTCTATATCACCCCCCCTCCGGCTTACTTTTCCTACTACTTTATAGTAACTCATTAGAGGGTAGACACTACAACAATAGTAAAGGTCTGTAAAAAGAAAAATACTTTTGATAGACCCTAATATATTTCTAACATACTATTCAGGCATCATTCTAGTCAGAACAATTGCCAATGACTCTTTGTTAAATGCTTCTTCTTAGTAAAATAATGTAGTCTATTTACATTTGCCATGTTTATTATTTCTCATGTGTTTGTAGAAAAAAATCTGTTGTTGATCACATAAATTTTTATTTTATACCTTTGTTTCTGTTATATCAAAAATAAATTATGAACCAATAAGTGTTAACTAAGTTATCTTAAAAGTTATCTTAAAGCACTCAGCAACTTAGATATCACAGACCAACTTTACAACTTTTGTCATTCACATCACCATTGACACTTAAATCACATATGTAAATTTCTGAGTAAACAAAGATTTAAAGTGTTTAAAAATTGAAGCTATGTAAACTTGAATGGCATTTTGTGGAAATCACAATCAAGAGTGTCCATTGACTGATTGCTAGAATAATAGTTTACATGCCTTTGAGAGAAAAAAGTCAGTAATTTTTTTTTTTTAATAGTATATATAACATGTTCAATTACATAAGTATATGACTAAATAAATTTCAGGATTTTTCTGATTTCTATTATTCAACTCGTGTATACAACAGGAAGTTGATAGCTCCTGTTTTATATTTGTATGTTGTATAGTCATATTATTGAATTTGCACATTCAGTGTAGCTCCAATGAAAGCTGTGAGGAGAAAATAGATTATAGAACACAAGTTTTTGTTTTCCTCTGTCCAAAGCTATTTTTAGAGATACACAATATCCATTCCAATTGAGGAATATATTTGTTTTTGCAATTACTTAATCAGTGACAATTTAACAATGAAGAAAATGTATTGTATTCTAATCTTCTGCTAGTTCAAAGTTGAAGTAATACTTAGAATAAAACATTGCTATTATATTTTTGTACTTCTTGATTGCATGTGTTTTTTCTTTTTTTTTTTCTTTTTTTTTATTGGTTATACAAGATGAACAAATAACCTCAGTTGATTTTACATACTTTTTTAAAATTTATAAATTGGTAAGTTGTTAATTTTATCAGAAGAAATTGGAGCTAGTATAGTTTTGTTCAAATTGTAGAAACAAATAGTCAATTATTACAATTTTAAAATTATTATTTTTGACATTTTGCCAAATATAAAAATGCAAAAATAAAGTTCTAGTAAATATTAATATTTTGTATAATGACTTAAACATATTTGGAATCTTTAAGATTAAAAGAACAGCTGATATGAAATCTGAAACATTACTTCCATTAAAGGAAAGACACCTGATGAATGATCAAAACATTCTGTATGTAATAATGATAAATCTTCACCATAGTAATGCAATGAAATTGATATTTTTGTTAAACTATTGATAGTTTGCTATTTATAAAGATATTATTGAGTGCAACGATTTGAAAAACACTAACCAAATTCTCTGATCTTATTTCATAAGTATTGGCATTGATATTTTAAATACATGACCATAAAATAAGTTGATTTTCCTGGGAAATCAATAAATTAAAAATTATATATTCAAATCCAGAATTTTCATGGGAAAATTTTATAATTTGGTTTTGATTTATTTTATTTAGTGTTAGTAAAAATATTTCTTGCGTCTCACATAAGTTTATATAACATTACTTTCATATTTATTCTTTGTTTTTTACAGCTACTATGGCAGTACAGTATGGTAGAACAGGAGATAAATTTTCCAATTAACTGTCAAGATTTAATTCTTAGCATTTTTGTTATATCATTATGAACAACCAATATATCTATAGGTTTTGCTCTTACATCCAAAGGATCATGTATGCTTTAAAAAGATTCTATTTTGTTTTGTCTGCATTTTCTCTAGTTTTGTAAGTAACAATAAGTGAAGTTTTATCTTATGCATTTGTTAATGCAAAATAAATCATGTTTGGTACCATCAATTGATACCAATATGCCAAAAAAAAACCTTAATTTGTTTTTGTTTTTTTTTCTTTCAGCCCAGAAGTCTGGTTCAATGTTTGTGTTCTTGGGGGATTCCAGATTATGGAGGTTCCTCTTTTGAAAACTTGGATTCACACACATGTTCTGGAAGGAATCACAAAAGGTAAAAAATAAATCCTAATATTATAGGCATAGGTAAAGGATTTAAGAAATCTGTCAATTCAGTAAATTATTAGAAAATATCTTGCCTATTTTTTAATACTCATGATGTTAGCCAGCTCAGGTGACTTATAAATGTCTTATGAGGTATTGATTAGTTGATTTCAATCCTCACTGGATGTTCCATATGTGGGCATTTCTTTTTTGTTTTTATAAAAATGTGGGGGTGACAATAATAAAGAAAATCTAATAAACTGAGAGGGTGGTAAAATTAGAATCTAAGGAGTAAGGGCATTCAATAAATAGGATGGTTGGATTTGATTTAAAAACAAGTTTTTCAAACTATAGCATGACCTCAAAGAAATAAAACTAAAAATAAATGTCCAATGTCTTTGCAGTTTTACCAACAACAGGATGACAAAGTAAAATACAACAACCAGATAAAGACTGCCTTAGTTAAGCCTTTGCTACGGATTTGTTCATGGATACAAACAACTCCTCGAGCAGCACCTGCAGTACAGTGAATCTGTATGCTGGCTTGCACATTTGTGCACAGGTTGCCAGGCAATGTCTCTTTGTGTGCTGTCTAGGATGGACATGCTGTCTATTGACCAACTGCTTACCCAAGCCTGGGCGATTATGAGAGATGAGGAGATGGAGGAAGTCATGGTAGCTGCAGTGGCCCAGCCAATGCAAAGTACAGACATTCATGTCAGAAAGTGCTTTAGATGCAATGGTATTGACCATATGGCAAAAGCTTGTTGGAGCTGACAGTGGACAGGAGGGAGAACAATGCAATACCATGTGCTGTTACCTTTGCCATATCATGGGCCATATTCCTTGAAACTGTCAGAGAAAACATGAGAAGAGATATGTCAGTGCCAGTATCTTCTCCAGCCCAGCACTTACCTGTGATTGGGGTCCAGGTTGATAGCAGAACCATCACTGTGCTGGTTGACACTGGTTGTTCACTGTCTACAGCCAGCAGTGAGATATGCCAGTCATGGCTGAAAGGGCCTGTATGCGTAACAATGATATACAGGTAGACCAGAGCTTGTTGTGGGATTGGAGTCGTTGCTTTCCGGTTAAAAGTCCTGTCAAGATTGACATACTCATGAAAAGTCATTATGATCAAAGAACTAGGGGGAGTAGAAATCACTCCTTTGGGTGGAGTTCTTTGACAGAAAACCATCCCTGTGTGTGGCTTTCATCATAGAGAAACCAGATTTTAGTTTGAGTTCGATCAGAAAAAGAAAGTATAGACAGTGTCATGAAAGTGGGCTGAAAATCATGCACCAACAAGCCTATGAAACAAGATAGCAGCATATCCTGTGTCCGAGCTAGCGCATAAGGAATGTAATCAGGAGTTAAAAACATGGTTGGATAACAGCTGGCTCATACCTTATCCTGAGGAGGAGCTTGGACCCACCAAGGATCTAGTTTCACTGATGGCCGTTATCCAAGAGAGCAAGAAAAAGGTCCACCTTGTAATGGATTACAGTGTGTTAAACAAGTACGTAGACACATTCACAGCAAGTGCAGATGTTTATGCAAACAAGCTAAGGGAATGGCGACAATGCAGGCGCATTATATCGCTGTTGGACCTTCAAAATGTGTGCCTACATGTCCACATACACTAGTTGTTGTGGCCTTTCCAGACTGTCTTACTGAAAGAGCAGAGGTACCGCTTTACATGATTAGGCTTCAGTCTCAATGTGGCACCTCTTATAATGAAGGTAATTATCAAGACTGTACTGCAAGATTAAGCAATCCAAGATGCCACTTCAGCATACATAGATGACATCTTCATCGACGAAAGTGCAGTTTCCGTAGCATGCATCAGAAAGCATATATCTGACTTTGGACTGATCTGTAAGGACCCTGTGAGACTGGATGATGCTGCAAGTCTGGGGCAAGCATGATATGCTTTGATGGAAATGAGAGAATAAGTTCCCAGATGCTCCAACTGTTATCACGTATCGTAATACATTCTCTCTGTGCAGAAAACTTGTAAGCCACCTTCCAGTATGTGGTTGGCTGAGAACAACTGTGACATTCTTAAAGTGACGGGCCATTGCAGTAACTAAAGTTTGGGGCAACGAAACCTGCGAAGCTGTGGGTGGATGCAAGTTCCCTGGCCACTGGGGAGGCACTGGAAGTAAATAGTCATTGTGGAGGACGCATGCTGGCTTTGGTGTAACAGCAACACTCAATATATTAGCTGAGCTTGATGCAATGTTAAAGGGCATAAACTTGGCTCTGCAGTAGAACGTGAGATGTTCATGCGAAGACATCTGGGGACCCTTTGGGCGCTAATTGCAGAGTATGGCCTCAACTTGGATGTAAGGCTGGCAAAATCCGACCAAAATAAAGCTGTTGAATTTACCAGAGTTTCACAGAGGTGGTTAGATTTGTTGAAGAAGGACACCGAACCTCTTTTCTCAGCATGTGGTGCAGCCATAGGAGAGTTGGGACCAATGCTCTGCTGCAAGTGACACTGATGATTCATCCATAAGTGATGGGGAGTTAGAAGTAGATTCCCACATTTTCGATGCATCTTCTGCCATGGTGGAAATGGTTACCAACAACACTGAGGATGAAGTACCTCCTCCACATAGTGACAACAATGAGGACAAAATACCTCCCCTGTGTAGGATCACCAGAAGGAAACACCTGCCCCCTGCATGTTGGTGCTATGATCAGATCGGTGGGGAGTGTAACAGAGAATAGTCAGTCTGATATTTGGTGGTGTAAGCACCTTGAGCTGTGTCTTCTTCCACAATGGCCTGTTGAAAGAAGACCTTATACTTAGCATATATGACACTGACTATTTGCATATGAACAATACTGGGCAGGTATTGGCCAATAATCAGCATGGATCTGGAACTGGGAGAGCTATATAACACCAGTTTTTCTCTCAGTCAAGGAGGCACTCTCAACATGTGAAAACCATACAAGATGAATACATCCTGCAAATATAATTTTTTTTTTTAATATTGTATATTGTTTCTTCAGTGTTTTATTATTATTCATTTTAGCACTTGTTGATCCTGCAAGACTGGACATGAGTTTATCTTCTGCTGGACCAATTCGAAGTCGTCCTTCCCTAGCCAAAGAACACATTGGTAAGTATTGCTCTATTTTTCATGCACTTGGTCATAAATTTCTCTGTGTACTTTTGGTAACACAATTAGCTGCTTCATTGTGTTCTGCTTAATCTTGTCTATGATCTGAAATCTCAATTTTGATGATTTTTTTTTTATGTGTTGCTTTCCTCTGTCCCTCTTGCCTTCAATATGTTCTGTGAGTATAAAATTTTCTACCAAGTTATATTAAGGCTACAAATAGACCTCATGTGGGGTATTCGACTGGATACGAAAATTTGAGTTTACAGAGCTGTTGTACTTGCCATTCTTTTCTGTGGCTCAGTCATGGACTCCATACAGGTACCATATATGCCAGCTAGATGTTTTCCATAAAAGCTGTCTGTGTGCAATATGTGGAGTTAAGCTTCAAGATAGGACATCTAACATAGACCTGTTTAACAGGTGTAATATTGGATGAATCAAGACTTTTCTCATACAGTCTCAGTTATAGTGGACTGGTCATGTCTTGAGAATGTCTGATGACAGGATACCCAAGATCCTAATGTACAGCCAGTTAGATCAGGGCTACAGGAATGTAGGATGCCCATGGCTAAGTTACAAAGACAAGCTGAAAAGCAACTTGTCAGCAGTCAATATACACATAACACCCTTGAGCACTTAGCCTTGGAGTGGATAGAATGGAGATCAACGTGTTTTAGTGGACTCAGCAATTTTCAGTCTGCTTGTCTGAATCATCTTCAAGAAGTGAGAGCAAGATCTAAAAGGTCAGCCAATCTAACAGTGATCTCATCTCACAATCCTCACACTTGCTCCATATGTGGCCTCCTTTGTAAATCAAATGCCACTTAAGATTATTGCACAAACTTTCATAACTGAATCAATAAGCTGTCAGATCCTCATAGGTTGAAACCGACGGGGGAGTCTATTATTATTATATGTATTATATAGGTACTGTTCTCCCGTCATTTTTCAACATATGAGTGTACAGCAATTCAGTTCTTAGAACTGCACACCCAAACTACTCACACATGATTTAATTATAGTGGTGAAAGCTTGTGCAGAACCAACCACAATTTTTATAAGAGCTGAATACAGAGAACTGTATTTTGAACTTTCTTAGACCAGTTGCCACCCAAGACTATATGACCCAGTTTATCCTAGCTGGGTGAAAAGATTGGTTCAGACCTTTCCCAATGGTATTTGCATGTAAGTGAATGTAACAAACTCTACTGGAATTTGAACTCTGCTCTCCAATTCCTCAATCTGAGCTGCTATCTATTATTTCACTATAGCATGAGTGGTTGTTTAAATCTCTTAGTAGCATATCCCAGAAGACAAATGCACTAAGAATAAGTCCTTGTTTGAAAAAATATAAATAATAAATTAAAAAATGTAAAAAATTAATTTACTCATAATTCACAGAGCAGAAAACATTTCAAGAAATAAATCCTTAGAACCAGTCAGGTCATTGCTTATCCTGAAGATACTTATGCACAAACAATGTGTGCAGTTCATCAACTTGATACCTACATCTGAATTTTGACCATTTTAATTTGAATATTTGAGTGGATTTATGTTGGTAGGCCAGAAATCTTATCTAGTTTTGGTCAACAATTAGATGCAATGCTGATTCTGAATTTCTAGCAGCAGTTGGTCCTCCTCAGTTGAACTGATTTTCACTGATTTTATACAGTCCAAGGTGCAAATTGGTGAAACGCAAGATCATGTCAAGACACTACAAAATGATTTAAGTGATCAGCATTCAAAATCTTGACTTGGATAAACCAGACGCCAGTGGCAGTGAATTAAAATGAGGTAACAATTTCAGTAACAAAGCTGGCCCCATACTTAAAACTCAACTATATATGAATCAATTCTGTCATTATTGACAGTGGGTGTAGGAGGTTTTTTTAGTAAGAACTGTTTATCCAAATGCTTACTTATCCACTCTCTTTCCTGTCAACTATTTTGGCATGTTAGTAATAAAGCTTCTTGTTTTTTTTTGTGTATTTTTTAAAATCTCTAATAATTCACCAAACTTGTTTTCATGCTGATAACTGTTTCACATTTCCATGTAACTCATCAATATCACAAAAATGTATATTTTTTATAAGAATGCAGTAAATATCATTAAAATTTACATTTTTGCCCCATAACTTATAACCATAACTAAGGCAGTTTCAAGTGAACAGAACTTTAATGTCAAGAAATTTTTAAAATATTTTTTGTTCCTCTAAGCAAATCTACATTATTGCACAATCGCTAATTTGAAATATCATATTATTTTATTGTATTTAATTCCATGTGTTCATAGTTATGTATAATCATACTTGTAAACTAGATTGTGGGTAGAAAAAAAAACAACATTCTGACTCTAAGGTAAATAGAATTGTCAAAAGATAATCAGTTCAAGCATTTTGTCTGTATGGTCAACAGAAGTTGCTCTTTTCAGAATGAAGACTAAATTCTTATGTAACTAGCAAAAGTTAAAAAGATCACTATCTTTAGCATTTATTGTTGCATTCCCATCAGTAATTCTTTTTATGTTTATATAACAGAAGCTAGTAATTACTAATTTTTTTTCACACAATTCTTATCAGATAGGATTTTAAAATATGCCACTATTTTCTGACATCTTTTATTTATCTCTTTAAATTGATTAAATTTTTTTTCAAGTCAGGATGATGATTGAAATGTAAAAAGACTTTGTCTTGATTGATTTATTGGTGTAATTATTTTTCTAAGATTAATTGTTTCAGTGAAACTTAATTAACATTTTGTATTCAATTTCAACTGATAGCTGATTAATTGAACATTTCTAAAAAAAAAAAAAAAAAAAAAAATAAGCAAATATGAATTTGATTGAAGTCACAATGCTGATAAGATTCCATTTGTTTTGTATTGGAGGAATTTCTAAGTAAGAATACATTAAGCTGTTGTGTAAGCATGTTTTTGGAGACATGAAAAAAAAATCTTTTTTTTTCTTTTTTTTTTATGTATTTTTTGTTTAACCTTCCCACTTTATTTTTCTCTTTATTGCTCAATGAAAACCATGACAATTCAGATTAGTTGCAATTATGGGTTTTGATTAAAAGATTAAGTTTCTTTATTGTCCCTTTTTTTTTTTTTTTTTTTTTTTTTTCTCTACAAAGTTCAAATTAAGCATATATTTTCTCTCCCTATGTTAGAGCCATTAAACTCTTTGTGGAGAATAGGGCCACAGCTTCACCAGACTAAGTGTTGCTGCCATGGCTTCTGTAGCAAATAGGTTTTTACAGGGTGGAGCTGCCAGCCCCATGCCTTTGAATTCAGAGTTGTCCTTCTAAAGGATCTAGTCTTCCCTGCTATTTTAACATGCAAGCTATGAGGAGAAGAGTTGGATTAATACCATTTATCAAAGATATCAACTCTTCCAGAATTTGAACTCTGCATACTGTTCCCACTTCCAGTTACAATGACTATACTACACACATACTTATTTTTGCATAGCAAATATTTATTTACAGCATAATTACGTTTGTCAGTGCACTTAATTTGGTATTGAATGTTAATCTCATAGCTCAAACATTACACACTGAAAAGTTCAGATCAAAACTCGGCTCATCACTGTGCTAGGGAGTCATTAATCCACTCTTGTATATAACCTATTTTGTATACAAATGAAAATATTTTTACATTATATTACTTTTTGAAATAATAATTTTCAATTTGATTCTGGAAGATTTTGCCCCTTTTATGAAAGCAATTATTTATTTGAAGGTATTCCATCTTTTACTCTATAACTACTAGAGCAAAATTTGTCATTTTTGTATAATTCCCACAAATCCATATACACAGCAATAATCACATTTATTTTTTATTTTGATTGATTTTTATTTTGTTATTACAGCCCAAGGTGTACTAACGGTCAATGTAAAAGGCTATGGAAAGCCTAACAATGGTAAGAGATCTTTTGTTACTTTTCTATACAAGAGGCTATCAAAATGTTTGGGACTTAAAGCATGGAATTACTTCCTCAAAGAAAGAAACAAATTGATAGAAAATAAGGGAGTTTATTTCCTGGTGGAGTGATTTTCAGATATGTGAAATGTTTGGCAAGATATGGGGGGAAAACCTTAACAGACGAACACATTGCTCAGTATGTTCAAATTCACCCAGATTTCTCTCTCGCGCACACACACACAGGTCTGAATATTGCATTGAAGCATGAAACTGTCAGTTACCATACTGTGTTAACTCATATGTTCACACAGCCTATAAGTGGTCTATATTTGATATTAACCAATCATCCTCTATAAATAACACATTTTACACATTCTCTCTCATTATATATATATATATATATATATATATATATATATATATATAAAAACTTATTATTCTATCAGATATTTTTATTACTTTAAATGTCATTATAGCGGATACAATATAGCATATCCACTATAATGATATTTGAAGTAATAAAATATGGCAATAGCTTCAACATGTAGTTATTCAATATTTGAGCATTAAATAAGATCGAATTGGGTGAATTTTAAAATATTGATGTATATTTTCATTTATTATCTATTCATAATATTCTGAGGATGTTGTAAAAATATTAAGTTATTAACAAAATTAAGCATTGTTTTGCTTATCTGTTTCATTAGTTAAAATCATGCTTTTCATGATTTCATTTTTTGTTGGACAAGATATATTTATGTATGGTGTGTGTGTGGTTTGCTAATTATTGTAGATCTTTTACATCACTCTGATGTGTAAAAACTGCAATAATAAATTCTACAAGTTCTATTGTATTTCAATTCACATGTTCAATTAAGATACTTCATTCTTATATTTACTTAGAATGTGTAATATATACCTTTTATACACATTTGAATAGTTAGATTTAATCATCAATCATGTTACCAAAGTTATGTCGATCAACAATTATTATTAGTCCTTCACCTGTTACTAAAAATGGAAGAATTAATAAAATGTAGGCATCACTTTTGTGAAGTAAAAGTGGCAATATTCTATCAAAACTTAACCAAATTAACATGTATACCAACCTTATACATTGTTCAGAACTAATCACTCTTTGCAAATATCATTTCTTAGTTTTAGAAAATTTGGATTGACTATCATTACCAGGTTCACAGTCTTAGAGAAAAACAACTTTAATAAAAACAGTTGACCAAATGGAATTGATATAAACACATGTAAAGTGTGCTGACAGTTACATTAGTGAAGAATGAATTTAAAGAAAATCTAATAACAATAATCTAAATAAGAGAAGTCTGTGTTAGATCTGCCTTTTAATAAGCAATTATATTCAACCAAATTACAATTAATGGTACATAAAATAGTAACAATACTTCACAAGATGGCAAATATGTGAGTAGCTGCTGAAAAGTTCTCAACCAGATCAAAAATCTCTTTAAAAAAAAAAGTTTGATTAAATTTTGGCAAATAGCTCAGACTGAGAAATTATCAGCACCTCCTTTTATTTATTTATTTATTTATTTATTTATTTATTTATTTATTTATTTATTTATTTATAAAAAAAATGAGGTATGGTATAATCATTTTTATCATTTTAATACATGTCAGCTTTTAGCTTCTTTTTAATTTTACACTTTTGCAATATAAAGGGACTTTTTTTTTTTTTTAATCCTGAATATTGTATAAAGGTACTTATGAAAACAAATAAAACTCAAAACTCCTATTTGAAAGAAAAAATTATTATGATATAAAAACAATAGAACAATACAAAATTTACAAATAAGTTTGCACAAAATTTTCCTTTTGGGCACTTTATTATTATTAAGGCTAAATAACCAAATCAAAAAATTACATATGGCTCATAAAAGCTGATATAAATTTTTCAACAAAAATTTAATTTTCAACATTTGAAAGATCTTTTGAGAAGGTACAGTACAATTCCTTTCAGAAAAGATACTTATTTGAAAGTTGAAATGGAGTTTTTCTTTTTTAAACACAGTTTGATTATTAATTTCATAAAATTTTCATTTTTCTGGTTTCTTTTAGCTTGTGCTTTTTTCTGTTTCTTTTGCTTCTTTCATAAGAAATAGACTTGTTCATGCACCAGTGACAACCAAAATTCTTTGTCCTTCTGAAATCCTTCTCTAGCATGTGCCCTTCTCAAATTCTTGTATCCTTCTGATTTCTTGTAACCTTCTCAACTTATATAGAACTCAAATAGGTTCCAGATAATCCCCAAATTTTAAATTTGTGTGGGAGGAAGTCTTATTGGTCAAAGAATCTAAAAGTGTATCTCTTTTTGAAATTTGAAAATTAAATCTTACCAGTAACCATCTGGCATTGACTTATTTTTGGCTTTTTTTTTTTTTTTTTTTTTTTGCGTCCTATTTTTAGAAAGTTTAAAGAACAGATGTTCCATATCAAATTTATTAGTTAATTTTTTATTAACTGTCTTTCTTTCTTTTAATTATTTTAAAACACTTCTAAACGAACCTAGTCTATTATAATATTTATTTTATCTTCATCTTTTTATTAATCATTTATTTAATTTGCATTTTTTTATATAAATTTTTGTTATCCTCTCAAGAGAAATAAGCAAACTTAGTTTGTCTTTTTTTATTTTATCATATTCACCTTTTAATTATTTTATTAGTTTCTTATAAAAAATCTATCCAATTTAAGTTTTCTGTAATAATTTTATAAAACTTGTTTGTTGAAATTCTTACTTCTCTGATACGCTAGTGACTTATGATTTTTAATTCTACTTTATGATAAAATTGTTTGTCCTAAGATTCAGAATTATGTCTAAAAATACAGATACATAATCAGAGAATTCACCAATCATTTCCAAGATATAAACCAGATTATTAGGTTGAAAAAAAAAAATTCCCAGTGCTATCTTTTGCACATTTTAAAGAAATCTTAGAAACATATTTGATGTTTACTCAGTTCTTTATTGGTTGTATAAGGAGTTATTTCCAAGCCTTAGGAGAAATTCACTAGTTAGGAAAATGGGTTTTATTTGACACTGTAATATCAGTAAATAAGTCACTGATAATGAAAAATGTATTTATTACAAGAATGGAGAAAATTGTAGCTAGATCCAGAAGAACCTTCAGCATCTAATTGTAAGGAGAATTTACTGATGAAAAGGTTGTGTGTTTGGTAGGATTCACTAGGAATTATTTAATGCAAAATCCTAGAACCTAGACAAACTGTTACTGCACACTTTCATATTGGTTATATTGAAAGAGATTTTTTTTTTTTTTTCCAGTGCAAAAAAATCATACAGGGATTTTCTTTTTTTTTATTATACTGCCTGACAACATCATGATGTCATCGTGTTACAAATACAACTTGTCAAATGATTTATGGAACCTAGTTAGGATTTTTTTTTCCTATTCTGCATATTCTCCAGACTGGTCTTCTTCAGATTGTCACTTGTTTCACTTTTGTTTTGATCAATGGTTCTAACCAATTCATCAGAAAATTCCTTCCAATAAAAATGGAGTTATTTATAATGGAATATGCAATTTATCTGAAAAAGTGGGATATGGTTATAAAAAGTCAGGGAAAATATTTTCATCATGTAATGATTTCACATGAATAAAAGATTTGGTGAAAAAATACAGAAAATGTTTACATTAATCTAATATTCTGTTTCATTAATTTCTTCACATTAAATGAAATTAATTTCATTTGTTTTTCTAAATCCATTCTGTTTCTTATTGTAGATGATGGTCTTGAAGATGTTGTCTACACTGTGATACGTTTGGGTGATTGTAAGCGACAATGTCCAGAAGTTTATGACACACAAAACTGGGAAGATATCTGTTCTTTTCTTGTTTATGACTTGGCCAATGATAAAGTAAATATTGTTTCATTTCATTGGTTTATTAAATGAAATACAGAGATTTTTTTTTTTCTTTTTATTCTTCGTGTCCATCTCGTATTCATTGTACTTTTTTTATCCAAGAAAACAAAATACCTTTACTTTCTGAAATTATAGATTTTACTTTAATTTAATAATTTTCCTATTCATTTTTATAGAGTACAATGTCTGATGCCAAAAATTACTTTAACTTTTTCCAGTCAGATCTGATTGGCTAGACACACACTTATTTATGACTAAATTTAATGATAGCAGTTGACTATAGAGGAATATTAGCTACTGAGTTAGCCTGAGAAATATGACAGCTTCCATAAAATGGTGATGGGATTCAGAATTAAATATTGAAATACATTGAAAGAAATTTTTTCTAAAACCATTAGAAACATGTTTATTTGTCACTGATCATAGTAAATACCTTTCTTGTTTTGTTTTTTTTTTTTTTCTGCAGTATAAGTAAAGTATGCTAGTGTCTGTATCAAATCAACTTAAAGTAAAGCATTGGTCAGTCTACATTTTGATAACTTATTTAAACCCTTGAGCTGGATGTAGTGTATCAAATTGTAACTGCCAGGTTAGTTTTTACTTTTTGATTATTATACTTTGACAAAACATTGAAAGAAAACCTTTTAACCACTCAAAACGGCTAATGAAATATCGAGACAGAAAGTTACTTTGTCTTGGTTTGTATTAGTCTGGTAGTGATTTAGATAGTCATTCAAGACAATTTGTAGATTGTAATGAATCAGTAAAAACAATGATTGTCCTGGAGACAGGATATGTCACTTTAAAATATCTTGGTCCAAAGTTTAAAGATTTTAAAAAGTGCTTTTATGGTGTAATGATTTTCCACTTATGTCAATAATGTTCAAGAATGCCACGACTTTTATACACTTTAAAAATACTTACCATTAATAATTTCTTTCTGTATTGCAAACATCAAACATTTGGCCAGTTTTTTGTCTTGAAAATGCTGTTCCAAAGTCCTATTGGGTATAATCAAGTAATTCTGTTTTGCAAAATTATAATTAAGATCTATTGACAAAATATTTTATAATGTTTATAAATCAAAATAATTCTTCTGATACACTTAATATTTTTCTTCTTTATTCAAAGTAATATTTTATTTTATTTCTTAAAGCTGCTGGTGAAATACAAGTGTAAGCGTCTACTGACCAGTGTGACTCTGGAGCAACAAGAATTACTTTTGTCTCAGTACCCATTCCAAGTAAAAGGAGAGTAAGTTGACCCTCTTTTATCATCTAAACAGGTTTAGTTATAATTAAATGCATTTAGGTGAATGGTAATAAACACATCTATTGTTGAAAAACTTATTGAAGCTAAAGAAAAAAAATCCTTTTATCTATTAATTTTGAATAGCATTACAAATTAATACCTTTTTATAATATTTTTTTAAACAAAAACCATACAGAAATTCATTTTTCTAGTTCTAACTTGTATGTATATTAATGATCGTTCTGAATAAAGTAAATTTTCTTGATATGCATTCAGTTTACAAACCCAAGCTCATGAGTTGTACATCTACATAGTCAAAACAATTGACTGACTCTGATGCATGTTTATCAAGCTTCTGTTTTTATACATCATTAAAAAAAAAATATGGATATTACAAATATGTATATTTGTTGACAATAAAAAAAATCGAGAAAATTTTAAAACTGTTTTTCTCAAAACAATATTAAAACACTAACTTGTTTTCCAATGTGACAAGAAAACCTACTAAACTTAACAATTGTTAGTGATAATCAAGTATTTTATACAGGTGTGAAATCATTTTGAAATTACACTTTTCTAAAAATGAGCCTCAGTTCTCTTTAGTATTCTCTGAATACATAAGATGTTCTAAATTTAATAATAAAGTTCTTCAAACTTACATTATTTATATTCAGACTATCTTCATCTTATATGACAATGGCCTAGTAGATTAAAGTATTGGTTTGTGAGCTAGTGATTGGGAGTTCAATCTCTGGGTTGGACAGTGTGTACTTGGACTCAGTGGAAATGGGCGAGTAATAACTGAGCAGTCTTAAAAATAAGAACTAGACGGAATCCTTAAACATGAACAGTGGAATGAGAACAGTCATAACCCCCACCCCACATACATTAAATAATAGATTCAGTTCAGAATTCCCTGTAGATCGATATGCAACAGAGGACACAAAGTTGTGATAAAAAACAAAGATGAGGACAATAGTCTGAATGTAAATAATGTAAATAACTCCTAATCCCAGAAATTCAAATAGAAAATTTCTTTAAAGTTTGCAAATGAATAATTGAATGATTTCTTTATATCTAACAAATAATGCTCAAATAACTTTACACATCAATTATTCTTGACTATAATTAATCTGATGGGGACAATTTATTATCATTTGTTTTAGAAATACAATTTCAACTTGAGTATATGTCTGAGCAGAATATTGTAGAAATGGAAATTTCTTAATGCACAGTCATCACTGCTACTTTTAATCTACACTATGAATAAATTGTCATAATTCAAACTTTTTGAAAATAACTTTCTCAGCAAGAAATAGGATTTTAAGTTAGGAATGTAAACTAATTGGATTCATATCATTGTAGATATGTGATCTCAATTTCACAGTTTCATCAAATTAATCTGGTCTATCAAATATGGCAATGGAATTTATTTTAAGTGTTCAGCTATAATTTCATTTTTTATTCATTTTTAGATGATATCTTTAATTATCTAAACTCCTTAAACCTTACTCAATTTGGCCTGATCAGTTATAAATGTGCTCTGCTTAGTAAGCATTGCAAATAGGTGCATTTTAGATATTTATAACACTGAATTTCATATTCAAGTTGCAACAGAAATTGAAAATTAAAAGTAAATAAGTTTTCACCTCAATTCATGCAGATGATTTTTAGATGATGTCTATGATGAATCAAGAAAATTCTTTTATTTTTGTTATTCTAAAGTTTTTGGTATTTTTAATGTTTATGCAGAGTGGATATCTCTCTTGACTTGAAAAATGGAGGCAAACTTTATCTGTCTCTCCAGTACACTCCATTGCCACCAGTCAAACTTGACATCAGTTCCAAGGAAGAACAACAAACAGGAAAAGATGGTAAGTTTTCATCTGCTCTGTTTTACATCGGATTTTTTTTTTAATCTTTCATTTATACAAAATTTTTACTGTCTTCAAATGGGCAAAATTTCTAAATTGTTGAACTATTCATCAATTTAGAAATTTTTAGAAAAAATTTTTCTAATCATGAGATTTAATAATTGATACTTTGGGTGAAACATCTGATCTTGCAGCTAAAATCTTTCTACAATTGAGCTTTATACAAATTAAAAAAAAATGTAAAATAAACAAAAACCTGCAGAAAGTTTTCAAGCATTCACAAAATCAAGCCGTTTTATATTAGATTATGGACATAGTTTCATCGTAATTAATGTTCCTTACACTAGATGCATACTATTGACCGCCTCTTTCTTTCTTATTACCACATTTCGGTAGTTGTGCACTCTGGCCTTTGTTAAGTGTATATCGATCTAGGTAACCTACAGGGAATTATGAACTGAACCCTTTATTTAATCTACAGGGGTAGACTGTTCTTGTTCTACTGCCCATGTCTGTGAAAGAGATCTAATTTGAATGAGATCTAATTTGAATCATAACATGCAAAATAAATTATATTTGAATATTTATAAGTTCTTAAAAGAAACTGAGTAATATATTTGTATTATTTAATATATATAATTCTGTTGATATAGTAATATAACGCTTATTCTCTTCAAGTAACACTAAGTATCCCTCATGTTACCATAACAAAATTTTATAAATTCTTTTTGTTTTGTTTTTGCTATTTTTTTGTTTTAAATTATTTAAGTGAAATGTTCATGCCTTAGGAAGGCAATGAATAAACCTTGTGTTATCTTTACAACAAATTAACTCATTACTATTTGTGAGACCAGATTGCTAATAATTACTTGATAGCCTATTATTACAGACAGAAAGTCATACTGTTCATTTTATAACATATATATAAGTTCCTGTTTAGGTTCACTGATACTGAAAATTTCTTTATTTATAGTAGTATCTGGAGTTTTATATGTACATATTCATGGCGCAACCAACTTACTGGCCAGTGATAAGAATGGCTCATCTGATCCCTACTGTGTAGTTTTCTCTGAGAGGAAAAGAGTAAGTATTTCAATAAATTATAGAAGGATATGTTTGAAATTAGCCTAATGTCTTAATTTAGAGGAAAACTTGAATTATTAATATGCTACCATTTTGATTCTGTTTTATTTTATTAATATGTGACATTGTTTATTATGAGTATTTAAGAGTTAATAATATTTAAATATTTAAATCTGTTGTATAGAGATGTTAATGCATGTTAGATAACTTTTTTATTTTTTAATACTTGAAAATTTGTGCAGCCTTTATTGTAACTATGATGGTGTATTTTGTTGAAAAAATCTCAACCCATGGGCCGTGGAAATGAACAAAGGTACTTACCTTAAATTGCCAAAAAATATCCACTTCCGCAACATAGCTTCTCTGTCAAATAACTTGCATCATATAACAAAAGTAAAAAAAATGAGGAAAAAAACATTTCTTTTATATAACCACTTCAGTGATCATGTGATAACAAGTAATGATAGTTTGTAATTATAAAAAATTGGTAAAAATGTAACTTTTAATGTCCAGAACAACCACCCAGGTAAATACCTTACTCCTCCCACCTGAACCATCAATTTTTCCACACCCTCTGGAGAACCAAAATAGAAAAATAAAAAAGCAGATAATGTTTTGGTTATATTTTTTTTGTTATGTGTCCTCTTTATTTGGGGAGTAAACTGGGTCTGCCCTGACAGCGCTTACAGGGTACACAATCGGGACAGTACCATTTTTTCCTTGTGGCAGGGGGGATTCGTATTACTGCTTCCAGCTCTCTCTCTGTGGATTCTCGATAGGTTAGGGGGCGATTATTGACAGGCCTCTGGATGTCAGATAAGGCTTAATAATGAGAAATAATCTATTTAGCCTCTAAGCATCATTGGCCATGCCTACTACACAATTCTTAAAACTCATCCGGTCAGTATGCATTTCCTGGCCACTAAACGTAGGACCAGTAATCTGGATCTGTGGTGGTTTGACAGTGAATGAAAATAGGCTCCTATCCATCTTTGTGGGGCCTGCAGATGATGACTTCAAAGAATTAGTTACAGCAGGGAGGAATTTAAGTTCCAGATCATTGAGCTCTCTCCAAAATCTTAATGAATACTTCAAGGATTCCTTCTCAATATCCACCCAGTCTTCTTCAGAAGAAGACTGCAGTTACAATTTAACACAGATCTCTATCTCCGTTAGAAGAGCCAAAAGAATCTTCATGGAGAGTTTCTCCTCCTGACTAGCAACATCCAGATTTGTCCTGATCTTTAATCATAGAGAAATCCTTCTCAGTAATTCATCCCTGCTATTATCCATGTCAGACACATGAGATTAATATAGTTTTTTTTTTTTTTTTTTTTTTGAAAAATGTTGAGAAAATTCTGACCCAAGACAAAAAAAAAATCCATGACTGTGCAGGCCAGGAAAATGAACAAAAGTTTTTGTCTTAAGTTGCAAAAAAAAAACATAGTTTCTTCATCAGATAACTTGCATCATATAACAAAAAGTAAAAAAATGAGGAAAAAACATTTCCTTTATATAATACAGTGATCATGTGATAACAAGTAACAAGAGCTTGTAGGTAAAAAGTAGGTAACAACTTTAATGTCCAGAACAACAACCCAGGTAACAACCCTCCCACCTCTGCAGCCAATTTTTTTACAATTTTAAAATAGAAGAAAATAAAGTTAAAGAATTTACTTAATGTTTTTCTGATTAGAATTTATATTCTAAATATTAATTTCTAAAAATTAGTGGTAGCTTTTATTTGCTGATCAAAAAAATAAAGTTTAATGTATTCTTCACAGATGTATAGAATTTAATATTACTTTTTGAATATATTTATATTTTTATATGTACATACATCAGTAAGCCTAAAGCCTTGTGATGAGAATGGAATTTATTTCATACCTTTTTCAACATAATCTCCCTCTTTGATCATTCTTCTATTTGCTGTGTCCCTTCAGGATGTCGGTGATAAAATTTTCTTATATAAATATCTGAATGTAATTGTTTTTATACAAGATTGATTTACATTAATAATTATATAAAATAATAAAATCAATAAAAATATACTATTTGTTTTTTATAATAGTTTTTTTTTTATTTTGTTTATTTTAACACTGAAATAAAATGTAAATTATTTTCAATATGCTGTAAATATTGAATTATGTCTAAGTTTTACTTTGTTTTGGCACAAGGCAACTAGTATGAAGCACTCATTAAGGATTGAACTCGTTACTAATAATGATTTACATTTAATGAGGCGCCTCATAAAATTCTAGTTTTCTTTAATGAACGATGGGAAATAACTCTGTTTTACACTTTCCAAAGTCAATTCATAGAGAAAAAGTCCCTATGAATTGAAATCATTGGATGATGGTGAATGCACAGATTGTGAAAATCATTACAATTTTGTATACTATTGAACACGTAAGGAGGTGGAGGAAAGACGTTATGTAGATCAACTTTATTATGAAGGAAGAGAAAAATTTATTAAATAGTCAAATTGATGTCTCTATAATATTATCTACCTAAGCAAAAAGTCATTAAAAGAGCATTTAAGTCTTGATTCATGATTTGCAAACCAACACTTTTAAGACCAAATCTTAACCTCTTTTTTAAAAAATATAAATGGGTTTGTGATTTTAAATCAGTTAACTATTTTAAAATCTTCATATTTGTATTTTAGATTGTAACAACACCTTATGTATCGCGATCTCTAAATCCCAAATGGGAAACACATGCTGAATTCTTTGTTAAAGACTACACCAAGGTAAGAATAAAATATTTGCTTTTTCGTTTTATGATCTTACTTCTCTTAATGGTATGTCACAATAAATAAATAAAAACTGTTTGCCGTATTTATCTTAATGAATATCACCTTCAAATATTCCTTTTAAATCCATTTTGTCAATATGTTATTAAAAATATTGACACTTTAGCTTAAGATAGAATATTTTGAGGACTATATTCAATTTTTGATAAGTCCTGTAAAATTATATTTCTTTTACTTTTCATTTTTCAGACCAAATTAAGCTTTTATGTATTTGATTGGGATGGAAGGAATGTTATTGATGATGACTTTCTGGGCTGTGCATTTTTAGATGTCTGTCAAGTAAGTGATTCTTTTGTTTTTTTTTTAAGAATGTGTTGTTTAAATCTTAGAATTAACACAAAATATTAATTCTTTCTCTTTTAGCCTGAGTACGAATTTTACAAGTATCAGTTACTCCTAAATTTATGAAATGATCTGAAATCTTTACTATTTTACCAGTGGCAAAATAAAATAGTTACTATTTGTTGCTCTAAAGCTATGGGAATTTCAAAAGCAAATGATTTTAAAGTAAAAATCTTGTATCCATTACAATATCTTTTGCATTTACTGAAATATTAATATAACGAGCCAAAAATATATTGTAATAAGTATTTATATATCTAGGTAAATGACACTATATACTTTAGATTGAACTATCATTCGCTCTGTGGTTGTAGTTGAATCATCAAATAACTTGATCCTTTTTAGGTCATATGAAATGAAGCTTATCTGAAATTTCTAAATATCCTTTCTTATTACGTGGCTATGAATGTTATGTATGCATAATATCAGCCTTTTTGGTTATATTCTTGCTGTGATTCACTTATAGTACAATTTTTTCAAATTTTCTGTGACATGTATATTTGTATATATATTACTCATAAAAAAACCATGCTTCTTCCTCACTTTCATTTTCAGCTTTTATACTCTTGTTAATGTTTTGTTTTTCTTAAATTCTTTTTAAAGGAAACGTGGGTCCGAAATGAATCTGAGGATTGGATACCCCAGGTGATTTCTACTGTAACCAAAAATGTTTTTTTGCCCTGCCAATTAAAAAAAAAAAAAAAAAAAGTTAAAAACTTAATATTTTCTTTTTTTTTTTTTTTTTTTTTCCACCCCCCCACCCATTTGCATTCCAACAATTATGGTTTCCTTGATTTAGCTGCTTATCTCATCATAAACATCCATTTTATCATCAGCAAAACTTTTGTTTGGTTTATTTATTGATTTGGTTATAAACATTTTTAGGTAAACCTTAACTTTCGTGCCCGCAAAAATGTCCTGTAAAAAGGATGTTTTTTTTTTCTCTTGACACCAATTATTTTGTACTACCTTTACTCACTTGAAATGTTTATTTACAAGAATATAAAAATATGTGAACCAAGCACAATGCAATATTTATTATTTACCTTTCATAAAGATTTATTATTTACCATTTTATAAAGAAATAAATGTGAAAAATCATTTTATTAAAAAAAAATTTTAAATTATCAAAATATGTAAACCAACTAGACTGCAATATTTATTATTTACCATTTTATAAATAACTATGAAAACAATTTTTTTTATTCATACTTGTATAAAAATATCAATGAAAGAAATGCCTGGAAATGCATGTTTTCAAAAGTTATAATTACACTTACTCATCATTGTTTATTTAAATTTTCATGTTTGACATATTTTATAAACTTATGAATAAAAAAAGTTTCTTTTCATATTTATTTCTTTATGAATTGATAAGTGATAATCATTGCATTGTATTTGTGGATTTACATTTTTAGAATGTAAGTATAAAATTATTCTTGAAAGTAAACAATCTAATAGTGTTTAATATTTTTGTTGTAAATTCTCAAAGAATGAAGAAAATGTATAAATTCACATATGTTTGGGTTTTATTGAAATTCTATTCATTGCTTTTTAAAATGGACATTGCCGAGAGAGTGAATGTAGTTAAATTAGCGATATCAAGGGAAAACTGATCCTTTTTGACACATTTTCTTTTTTTTTTCTTTTTTTTGCAGGCACAAATGTAAAAGATTTACCCATTTTCTTGTCTATAAAAGGATACAAACAAGGATAACTTTTTCCTTGTCTTTTAGTTTGTAAAACTATGCTAGTATTACATTGAAATATGATGCACAATCTTTAATTAGCTGTCAATATGACAGACATTCTAAACACTATTCCTATTTTAATTGATTACAGTTACTGTAATTGTTGGCTATACTATTTAGGATAAATTAATTTCATAAAACTATGTACTACTTTTTATTAATGCTCATCCCTAATTATTATGGTCTATACTGTGATATAATATTACCAAATTTATCAGAAAGTTATATAGGGAACTACAAAATAATCAACATTTTTTAAAATTATTTTTTGCTTGATCTTTTTAGAGAAATGTATAATTCCTCATTTTCAGATCAGGAGTGATTTTCTTGGAAAAACTGCATATTTATTAGAATCCTTAGAAAGAAAATTATTATTGCTAAAGAAACTGAAATGGTTTTGTTTCTCTTATGATCATATTGATTGTTTTTAAAACTTGTCTTTACTGATGATTCTTATTGAAACTGATGTCTAGGATAGTTAATAAGCTAATCACTGGTCATATATAACAATTGATAAATAATTTGGAGAGACCCATGAACCAGAAAACTATTTTTCTATGAATATTTCTTGTTTCTTTTTCTGATATTAAAATGAGTTAATTTTAGAATGCTATTAATCAAAAATAATACTTACACGGTAACACTGTTTCCTATACATAAAATATTGCAAGTATTTTATTCTTTTTTTGTGTCATTCAATCTAAGATTGTTGTTTGAACTGATAAGAAATATAAAGTTGTAAGTATTCTCCTTTAAGGTAGAAAAATCAATGACATTTAATTCTAGTTTGTGGTTCTCTTAATTAAATGTCAAAATGATGTTAGATATTTCTTCAATGGATGTGGGAAGGTTAAAAAATTGAATTCTATAAAGATAACTATGTATTTAGCAAATCATTAGAAGCTTTATTAATTTCATCATTCCCATTCCATTATTTTTAAGCTTTAAATTATAAATTCTATCAAATTTTCATAGTTTGCTTTGCTTGATTCATTTTTCAATCTTGCCCTACTCACTTGAGTTGATATTAAAAGTAATACTTTTAATTTTACTTGTAGTAAACACCTGTTCTATATTCTCCCATTAGAAAGAGTTACTTTTGAAGTAACTGCATATAGCTTATGTACTTAGACAATTTATTAGTATAGTAAGTTAGATATTCACTGTTATAATAAGCATATGGTTGGAAAGGAACAAACAATGATTAAGATTTCAACATGTATTGGTCAAAATTCAGAATATGTACATAGTTGTGTAAAAGGTGGCAAAAATTGTTCATATGTGGTTCCTTAGTTTCCATTAGTAAGGAAAGTGATTGGGTGTAAAGTTGTTGTTGGTAGGACTGGGAGTTGACAGATTTGTTGGTTTGGTTGACAGAGGTCAGTTGTGGTCAGGAGATAGATCTGAAGTGGATTAGTGAAGCAAAGTGTAGTGTCATTTGCAGGGTTTGTCATATGCATTTCTTCAGGTTTGAAATCAAAACTGGTGGGGTGTTTGATGGTCTGGTGGTCACGTGATGAGGCTGAAGTGTTGAAGCTGAACTGTGTGTTGCTGGTAGGGATGATTTGTGGTAAGGTCTGGTAAAGTGCATTTGGTGGGTAGGTTGCCATGGTTACGGTGGTGGTGATGAGAGAGAGAGGCTCAGAGTGGTTAGCAAAGCTACAAATCTGATACAGAGGATGCAAGCATGATGAGTCAGGAGAAGTCATTAATCTGACTTTGCTAATACACTGGATGTGAGCTTGAAGAGTCAGGTGAGATTGAAGTTTGGACAACGTACCTGTGGCAACAAGAGAAAGGCTATCATGGTGGTGATGATGACAGCATGTCTGGTGTTGACAGGTGACCTTTCAGCCTCTTACTGTGTTGGTCGTTTATGAGGGGCTTTCTTTTAAGCAAATCTGGGGTCCCCAAGATCACTTTTTCAGCAGGCTATTGTATTTTATTGTAGGGATTTGTTTTGTAAACCTTATGTGATGCTTGGAGCCCCTATGCAGAAAACGGCTTTATTATTTTGTTTTGCTTTCTTAGCATTCACATCCTGCCCAACATGTAGAGTGAATCGGAAAGAGATCTAATTACAGCAGAGTGTAACATCTGGGTGCTCTACGAATGTTACCTTGTGCCAGTAAGGTAATCTTACTAAATAATTTTTTTTCTTAAACCAGATTCAGTAACTCAAAGTAAGCAACAATCTTCTGATTTTAATGATTTGTCAGTTTGAGACTAGATCTTCCTTTTTGTTAATTTTCTTGTTACATTTCAGATCCATTTTATAGCCTTTTTTCTCCTAAAGGCATCACCTATGTGTTTATGTGATCCATTTTACAGCCCCTTTTTCTAAATGGGATTTTCTGTGTTGATGTGAGGTTTTGCATAACTTTAGTGCAGTCAGTATATTTGTCATTATTTTCTTGCTTACTCTATCTAAAAAGACTTTGTTCTTTTTATACAGATTCTACAATGGAAAATAGCCATAAAAAGGATTGCTTTAAACATTTTTAATAACAAAAGTAATAAAAATGAGAACTGAAGAATTCTTGGAATTTTCCAAATATTTATCATTGCAAAATTTTAGTCAAGTAGGATAATTTTAATGAAATAATTTAGAAGTAATTTTTACTATTACTTTGTTTCCAATTTGTCTACAAAAATATATTCATTAAAGATATAAGCAGTGAAAGCTATTATTAATATTTTATTAAGAATATTTTCATAAAGATAAAACTGAAACTTGTCTTTGTTTCTGGTTTGTTTTTTGTTTTTTTGTTTTTTTTCTACTTTTCTAATAAAAAAATCAAACTTTAATACATTTTCTTATTTAATATGCAAAATAAAAAATTTATTTACATAAAAATATATATAATGAAATTCTTGAATTTTGTACTTTCTGTTTAAGAACTAACTAATTTTATAACTTTTAACATTAAAAATGGTTAACAATTTTTATGTTAATAATTATCATTTCAAATTATGCTCTCATATCAAATATAAATGCATCTAAATTTGATTTGACTGTGTTTTACTGGCATATCAACTCTGTTACTTTTTTAATACTAAAGATTTTTAAATATATAACTTGTAAACAATCCTTTGGGTTGTTGGTTTTATCACTCTCCAGTTATGCCTCTAGAATGGAGTTATTTAGTGCTATAATTTGTGGTATACACCAATCTCCTTCAAGTA